CCAAACCTTACAGCATTGGACCGCTATTGGGATTTTCATCGAATCGCGTGCTTGAACCGCAACAGCGGTATGAGTCGGACGTGCCAATAAATATCATCAACGTAAACATTATTCGTATCGAGTGCAACGTGACCGCGGGTGCGTACAGCAACGACAAGTGCGTGCACACGATACACGAGTTTTCACCGATTGTCCCACCAGGATATAAGATATCAGAAAGGCCGACGCAGATCATTTACCTTCCGATCGTCGTACGGAGCATTACGGATCTGACGATTCGCGTGGTGGATCAAGACGGCCGATTGCTCGATTTTCGTGGAGAGGAGATTACCGTTAGATTGCATGTACGAAGACGACGGCGCTAACGTGAGATGCTTGTGCTGAATGAACAACCGAAACAGACGAGAGATTTTAACGGAGAGATTTCATCTAGAAAAAAACTCACTGCGTCCAACGTTGCATTTTTAAAATCGTTGGGTTTTATCGTACGAAATGGCTGATATCTTGAACATTGTCGGTGAGCCGATCTTTGACGATCGCATCGTCAAGTTTGAATTTCATACGTACAATCCATACCCCAATACAACGTTTGGACATAGCGACGAGATACGAATACCTATACAGCAGCAGGATTTATACACGTTGCCATGCGAAAGTTTTCTCTACATTGAAGGAAGATTGACTGTGAAGAAGAAGGATGATGAGACGCCTACAACGCTTGGGAATAATTGCATAGCGTTCATGTTTGATGAAATTCGGTATGAACTCAACAGTGTGGAGATTGATCGCAACAGAAATGTTGGAATTACCAGTACCCTCAAGAACTATGTATCATTGACGTATGACAAGTCTTTGATTGCGTTGAACGCTGGGTGGAATTCTAGATCCGATATAATGGAAGGTTACTTTAACTTTTGCGTACCGCTCAACATGCTGTTGGGCTTTTGCGAGGATTACAAACGCGTGATTGTGAACGCTCGCCATGAATTGATTTTGATACGAGCGCGCAACGATAACAATTGTATACTGGGAAAGTCAGCGACGGAGCCGGAGGTTGAACTGATCAAAGTGCAATGGCGGATGACTCATGTTATGCTAAACGAGATCACTAAACTATCAATGCTGCGAGCATTGGAAAGCGGTCGTTATCTCAGTATGAGTTTTCGCTCATGGGATCTGTACGAGTATCCTCTGTTACAGAGTACGACGAAGCATACATGGGCTGTCAAAACGGCGACTCAACTCGAGAAGCCGCGTTACGTTATCTTTGCTCTTCAGACCGGTCGAAAGAATATCATGTCTCAAGATGCGAGCGTGTTTGACGATTGTAAATTGAGTAATGTGAAGCTTTATCTCAATTCAGAGTTTTATCCATACGGTGATTTGAATCTCGATTTCGACCAAAAGAGATACGCTCTCCTGTTTGATATGTACGCGCGTTTTCGTAAGGCATATTATGGAATTGACTGCTTCGAAACGCTGCTCAATGTACTCTCGTTTATCGAGAAAGGACCGTTTGCTGTCATTGACTGCTCGCGACAAAACGAATCCGTCAAGAGCGCTACCGTGGATGTGCGAATAGAATTTGACTGCAAGGAGAATGTACCCGCCAATACTACCGCCTATTGCCTCATCATACACGATCGTGTTATCGAATACTGCCCGCTGTCCAACGTAATGCGCAAGGTTATGTAAATTGCACCGTCAGCAGTTATCTCCAATTTAAGAGAGATTTACACTGATATGAGTGCAGTTTCAAATAAATGCTCGTCATGATCATACCAACGTTTGTGGATCTGCAAGGATTCGTCGTAGACAAGAAATTTATCGTCAAGGACGTAGCGGTGCTGAGAAGAGGAACTGTTATCACACACTACATTTTTTCATGTCCTATACCATGGAATTTACTGACAAGATCCGACAAATCTTGCGCTTCCTGGTTGAGTGCTTATCACCATGGTTTGCGATGGGAAGACGGGATGGTCCCGTACAGCATGGCGAAACGTCTAATCACAGAGGCTGTAACAGAAGACGATGAAGCTCTCGTATATGTAAAAGGACCTGAAAAACGACAATGGCTAGTTGACATTCTCGATTGCGATAATGCGATCGTTGAAACTCTAGATGCGCATTACGAAGATGTAGAATCCCTACGTAATATAGATGCTTGTAATACGATACGGTGTGGAAGACACGCTAAGAATTGTGCTTTGCAAAATGTATTTAAAATATTCAACTGGTGGTCGCAGCACCAGGAATAATTGTAAGATTTTTAAAATAAATGTAAGATTTTTTAAATAAGTACGTTTTATTTCCGTTATCACCCATATAATAGATATAAGTAGATAAATATAAGTAGATCAATATATTGAAGGTAGACAGATAGCTGTTTAATGTTGACCGATATCTGTCTGATAGCTGTTTATAGCAGTTCAATAGCTATCTGATAGCTGTTCGATAGCTGTTCAATAGCTGTTTATAGCAGTTTGATAGCCATTCGATAGCTGTTAAATAGCTGTTTAGAGTGTACTGATAGCTGTTTGATAGCTGTTTGATAGCTGTTCGATAGCTGTTCGATAGCCGTTCAATAGCTGTTCAATAGCTGTTCAATAGCTGTTCATAGCACATGGGCTGAAAAGTCCCGGGCCTAACAAAGAAAACACGGTTTTTTTTGTTCAAAGTTAGTTTTATTCATCAACGTAATTTCCATCAAGAACAATTGCAATCATTCCAGCGCCGCTCTAACATTTTAATACCACTTTTGTAGAACGATTTATCTTTTGCCTTAAAATAGGCCTCAGTTTCAGCGATAACCTCTTCATTCGAGCGAAATTTCTTACCGGCGAGCATTTTTTTTAGGTCTGCGAACAGCCAGTAGTCGCTGGGAGACAAATCTGGCGAATACGGTGGATGTGGGAGCAATTCAAAGTTCAATTCATGTAGTTTTGCCATTGTTTTGATTGACTCGTGACACGGTGCGTTGTCTTGATGAAACAAAATTTTTTTTTGCCATATGCGGACGTTTCTTTGCAATTTCGGCCTTCAAACGCTCCAGTTGCTGTCCACTCAGATGACGATCGTTTTGATTCCGGAGTGAAGTGATGGATCCATGTTTCATCCATTGTAACATATCGACGCAAAAATTCCAGTTTGTTACGTTTAAACATGGCCAAACACTGCTCAGAATCATCAACACGTTCTTGTTTTTGGTCAATAGTGAGCAAACGCGGCACCCACTTTGAACAGAGCTTTCTCATAGTCAAATGCGCATGCAATATAAAGCCAACACGTTCTTTTGATATCTTTACGATGTCAGCTATCTCACGCAACTTCACTTTTCGATCATTCAAAATGATTTTGTGGATTTTTTTGATGTTTTCTGGTGTTACCGCCTCATTTGGACGTCCACTGCGTTTTGCATCATCGGTGTCTCTACGACCACGTTTAAAGTCAGCAAACCAACGTTTTATTGTTGTTTCTGATGGAGCGGAGTCCCCATAACACTTTTCAAGCCATTGCTTCGCTTGAACGGTATTTTTTCCCATCAAGAAGCAGTGTAAAATTAAAACACGAAATTGTTTTTGATCCATTGTTCTGAAAATAACAAAAGTAGCGTCACTCTTAGCACAATAACTCACAAACTAATGAATAGAATATCATGAAATTTTAACAGCTGTCTTTTGAAGGTTAGTACTAACTGAAAAAGAGGTGAATGCAATAAAACAAGCGCCATCTATTTGTTAGGTCCGGGACTTTTCAGCCCATGTGTTAGCTATTCGGTAGCTGTTCCATAGCTGTTTAATATATGATAACAATGAACAGTCCAATAATGATGATGATGATGAAGATGACGACGAAATGTCTATTGCGGTAAAGCGTAGAGCTATAAATTAGCATTATAAAAATTTTAAATATGTGTGAAAAAAATAAATAATTGTCTGAATTTAAATAGCATTTCAGTGTTCTTCCTTCCATCCACCCATCCTTCGCGCGGTATCACGTTACATCGCGCCAGCGTTATCGCGACAGCCTCACCGAGTGCGACTTCGATAGAATAAATGAATTATTATTATTATTATTATTATTATTATTATTAGTACTGCTGCTAAAAAGCATATATCTATCTTTGGTAATAGAAGCTGCTTAAGAAGAAGATGACATGAAAGAGAGACGGTTAGGGACCGCGCCCGACGGACCTCGCGGTGGGGGAGGACCGCGCGCGTTAGCTTACCGCGTTCGGAGGACCCCGCGCCCATTGACCCCACGGTGACCACCACAATTCTTCCCGCGCGAATGCGTCAGCACCCTGTGATATCATTTTCCTGCCCCTCTGCGGCGTCACCCTCCCCCTCCCGTGACGTCATACCCCTCTCACCCTGTGACGTCATCACCCTTCACTTAGTGTTTTATGTTGGTAAACCTGATTCAAAATTTTAGTGCTTACGGAAAAAAAAGCTCAATGATTTATGTTGGTAAACCTGGTTCAGAAAATTAAAATTCAAAAAAGCTCAAACACAAAAAATAAAATTCAAAAAACTCAAACTCAAAAAATCAAATTCAAAAAGCTCAAACTAAAAAAACATCAAATTCAGAAAGCTCAACTCAAAAAAAATGGACCAATCACAGTCGTCAATTTCTTAAAAAGAAACTCAAAAAAATCAAATTCAAAAAAGCTCAAACTAAAAAAAAATCAAATTCAAAAAGCTCAACTAAAAAAAAATGGACCAATCACAGTCGTCAATTTCTTAAAAAAAAGAAACTCAAAAAAATCAAATTCAAAAAAGCTCAAACTCAAATTTGGCCTAGAACCCGCCTATATACTCTACTTATGTTCATTTTGAATTTGCATCTTGAATAATCTATCATTTACTTTTCGTGGTACATTTTAATATAAAGTGTTCTAGGTAGCACAATGTGTATTCTATATTAGAAGTTCTTTGATAAGGATCCAAACCAAGGATCGAAACGTAAGAAAAATTGTATATTTTCAATAAATCGTATCAACACACATTAACATCCTGTGTACAAGACACGGTTAGGGATTTTTCTATTTCTTTTAAATGATTATCTAATAATAATATATTAATCACGAAAAGTAACTATTATATTATTAATCCTAACATATCATTAAAATGAAAAGGTCAAGCCATGTTCAAAAATAGATCCTCGCAAATTAAAAAACTCAACAAATTTAAACCTTTGAAAACTAACCGCAAAAATTTGAACTTTTCTAAATTATGTTATTTTCTATGTTATGTACCACGAAAAGTAAATGAAAACTACAAAAATTGAACCTATCAAAATTAAAACGATTACCTAGCCACAAAATAGAAAACCCAATAAATATCATCCTTTGAAAATTGACCCCAAAAATTTGTACCATTCTAAATTATAATGATTATCTAATAATGTAACCTAATAATTTAAACCTTTAATACTTTAAATGATATTATCTAATATAATATATTACCACGAAAAGTAACTGATATATTACTAAATCTTCCAGTTCAAATTGAACGAACATATAACGAATGTTTTCCATGTTGAATATGTACCACGAAAAAGAACTGATAGATTATTCAAGGTGAAAATTCAAATTGAACATACATACATATAAGTAAAACAGATTAGAATTTGTATATTACAGTTTTCTAGAAAATAACTGCAATATGTTATTCTTAGTGCACAAAATATAAAAGTTGGTTATTGAGATTTAATTTGAAATTTATACTAGACCGTACAATAAAAAATAATTGCTTGTAATTTCAGAGTATCAATCTGTTAATGACTCAAAAAAGAACTTGTTCGCCTGC